CATCGATGCTCATGCTGTCTTCATCCTCACTGTCGTCTTCCTCTTCATCCTGGAAGTGGGAAGCCTTGAGTGAGAACGAGATCTTCTTCGTATCGAGGTCGATCTTAATGACCTTAGCCTTGACAGCATCGCCTTCATCGTAGAGTTTGCGAGCATCTTCGACGCGCTTCTCAGCCATCTCACTGCGGTGGCAGAGACCACTGATGTTTGAGGACCCGTCAATGACAATGAAAGCACCGAACTCCTCAACCTTGCGGACCTTTCCGGTAACAATCTGACCAACCTTAAGATCCTTAAGGGTGATAGGAGCCTTGAAGTTGGGGTCCAGAACAGACTCCTTCAAGCTCAGCTGGAGCTTGCCTTGTTCGGCATCCACAAATGTGACCTTACCCTTGACGAGCTGATCCGGCTGGAAGGAGTCCTTCCATTCCTTAAGATACGAGTCGGAAAGATCAGACACGCGGACGTAAGCAGTGATATCGTTGCTGACTGCCACAAAGAGACCGGAATCGGTGACCCGTCGGACAAAGCCACGAATGATGTCGTTAGGCTTGACATCCTTGAGTGAAGAGATCTCACGGTCCTGCACGGGCAGAGAGGAGCTCATGACCTTGGAGGGTCGCAGCGACAAGGCAATCTTCTTGTTCGATTTGTCAACGGCAATAACGCATGCTCGGAGAACCTCGTTCTTGCTGTGCACAGTAGGGTTGGCCTTGGAGTAGTCATCTGCGAGGTCGACCAGGTTGACCGCGCCAACCAGTGACTCGCCGAGCTGCATAATGAGTTGGCGCTCGGTGACCTTGGTAACGCGACCGGGCAAAATCATGCCAACGGAGATATCTCCAAAGGAGAGCTTGTCGTATCCCTGCTTGGCAGAGAGGTTGAGGTGGCCCTTCTCGGCGTCAACGGCGGTGACCTGGACCTTCAAAGCAGAGCCGATGGGGAAGTTCTTCTCCATATCAGTCAGCAAGGACAGGTCGTCTGATGCGTCCATGAAGCGGAGTCTGCCGCGCACGTTGGGAGACAGGTTGACCCAGAGGCAGTCATCAGCGACATTGTTGACGAAGCCTACCCAAGAGGAGCCGACTTGCACCTGCTCCATGTTCAGAGGGGCCGGGTTTGCGGCCTTGATGTAGCTTGGCTTGAGAGACAGCTCGAACACAGGGTACTTTCCAGTGCGGTGGCTGATGGGGAGGAACTTGTGGTTACGGGCATCGTGGACACCGAGGATTCTGGCGGAGAGAGTTTGCTTGGCCTTGAAGAATCGTAAGGGTTGCTTGCGATCTTTGATATCTTTCCAGTCGTCGAATATTTCGGACACATCAATGCGACCCTGAATGTTATCTGCGAGCTGGACATTGACCTGGGTTGCCTTGACAGAGACGACCTTGCACTCAACAATTCTGCCGAAGGTGAAGTCGGACATGCTCTTGATGCTGTCATCGACGGGGTTGGCAACGGTCTCGTCAGTCTGCTTAGCAGCTTTCTTGGGAGCAGCCTGGGTAGCCTGAACAGGCTTCATGCTCAGAATGAAGCGCTTGAATTCCTGATCCACGGACTGCACATTGACAACAATCGTTTGCGCCTTTGACAAGCCGTAGTGGGGCAGCTCGAGGTTGGCGTCTTCGATAAGACGCTTGGGGAGCAACCCAGTGAGACCACCGAGGAACTCGACGAAGACACCGTCGGGTGTGATGTTGCGGACGAATCCTGTGACAAGGGAGCCCTCTTGGACTTCTTCGAACTGGCCCGGAATGTTCTTCTGTTTGGCGGCCTTCTTCAAGCTGGTCCTGCTGGAAACCTTGATCAGGCGGTGGGCGCGCTGGATGTTGAGGACCAAGAGGTCGTTCAGCTTCTGGCCTACGCGGAGCTTAGAAAGCATCGAATTTTGCTTAGACGGAGGGCCGTCGATGAGCTGCTCAGCGTCGAGACGGGCGACAAGGCCTGACTCATCAAGCTTGAGAAGCACATCATCATTGGATTTCTCGAAGACGATTCCAGTAACAAGGTGGCCAGGATGAAGGTTTTCAAAGGCCTCGCGATACTTCTCGGTAAATGTCGAGGGATCCTTGCATGAGACAGCAAGTCTTCCAAGGGATGCATCCACGCTCAAAGCATGGACATTGACGACCTGGCCGAGTCTGAAGTGCTGGGCCGGATCCTGGATGTAGGCTTCACTCATCTCGGAGACAGGAAGGAAACCACGGACCTCACCGTAGAACTGCACAACGGCACCATGGCTCTGAAGGTTGACAATGGTACCAGGGGACTGAGTCGAAGGAGTGATATCTTTGTAGTCCTTCCAGATAGCAGACTCACTGTTGAGCAAACTCTTCTTCAGGGTCAAACGAATTTGGCGTTTTTCGAGGTTAACAGACAAAATTCTCAGCGAAAGCTTCTGGCCCTCGCGGAATTTCTTCTCTGGGAACTGAAGCATAGTATCCGCAAAGTGCATGGAGGGAACAAGACCAGTGATTCCATCGGCCAGGTTGACAATCAATCCAGTCATACCATCAGCGCCGACCAGAAGCTTCTCAACCTTTCCTTTAACAATAGCACCCACATTCACATCCTCGACGCGAAGGAAGGGCTGTTCGATAACGCTCTTCTCAAACGAGAGAATGTAGAGGTTATCGATCGAGTTGTACCCAATGACTCTTGCCTCGTGGACAGCGTCCAGCTGGAAAGCTCCAGAACTTTCATCAATGGTTTCGACCTTGCCATCAGAGAGTCTCGACATGTGAACGAAGCCCATGTGTTTTGTCTCTCCAATCCGAGCATACACACCCAGACCGTGATCAACCTTCACGACCTTTACCTCGGGGATGATTGCGGAAATAGCAGGCGCGTCGTCAGAAGAACCGGGACCGCGAGCATCGGAAGACAGCTTGAGGACGTGGTCGAGCAAAGAAAAGCCGACCTTGAGTGGTTCAGCAGCCGGGAAAGTTGAAATAATACGGCCCTTAATCTTTGCGCCAATCTTGTATTTCTTTTCCAGGTCAATCTTGCCGTTGATGCTAGACTGGACCAGGTCAACGGTTGCGTCGAGCATGCCCATAATCTTTCCGATCATTCCATTCGCTGTGACTTCCGTCAGGAGAATTTCTGCGGCAGTACCGGGGAGGAAAGTATTGATGGTAGGGGCTGAGCTGAGGTAGTTGGACTTTTTGATCGAGGCGGAGGTTTGGAAGTTGGAGGACAGCTTGATGACATTGCCACTGGGGTTCTGACCGGTGACCATGCAAAGGAAGACAGTGCCTTCTTTGATGCTAGAATAATCCACGCTAGGGTCGGTATCTTTGGAGGACATGAAGCCCTTCAGTTCTGAGCCTTCAATGCCAAGATCCATGACCACACCGTGGTCTTCCACACTGACAACGGACGCTTGGACAGCCGAGTTCACAACAAGATCGGACTTTGAGAAGCCAGTGTTTGTTTGTCTAGGGTCGACTGAAAGCTCAATTCGTTTCTTGCTCTTTGCCTTGGGGTCATCGGGGTTGCTGCCAGTAGACACAACGAACGCCCGCAGGTATTGACCCAAATAGAAATGATCCTTCAAGTCGAAGGACTCATCGTCGGAGCTGTCCTCGGCATCATCATCTTCACCCTCGTCGTTCAGCATCTTCTCAAGTCTGTCTTCAAGGCCCTTGGAAACCGATGTGAGGGGAACGTAGCCGGTAAGGTTGTTGGGCAGCGAAAGGCCGATGTCGTGGGCGTTGATACTCGAGACCTGACCCAGGATCATGGCTCCTGGTACAATGCGCTGCAATTGTTAGAGTGGTGCGATATGAGAACTTTTTCTAGAACATACCTTAAAGCTAAGACCCTCGATGCGAACATTTTCCTTGTCGTCGGTTCCCTTGTCCGCGGACTTCTTGCTCTTTGACTTCTTCTTGCGCGACTTCTTGGTAGTCGTGGTGGTTTCTTCATCCTCCATTTCAACATCGTTGTCGCTTTCCTCGGCGAATTCGTTGGAGGGCGTCTTCTGGGGGGGCTTCTTGTTTCCAGATTCTTTCTGCTCGAACAAGACATCTCTGTTGGCCTGGATCTGAATTTGCTTGCGCTCCAATGGTGTCAGAACACTTGCGCCACCACGAGGGAATGAGGGCTCGTCATCGCGTAGCACAGAAAGTTCTGAAGCTTTCCCAGCGGTGGATGTGGTGGCATCAGTTGACTTCTTATGGTCTTTCTTGGCCTCCTCTGCTCCAACTTTAGCACGTTTTTGGGGCTGGCGGGCAGTGTTTTCTTCGGGGGCATTCCCCTTGCGCTTGATTGGCGCCATTCTTAAATTGGCAAAACCGAATCGTGCAGTTGCAGATTGCGGTCTAATTCCTCAAGAGAAAAGATAAAAAAAATTCCGCGGACACGGCAGAACCTTCTGAGCGGTGTAAAGACATGGGGTCATGAGTAAGCAAATTGATGCCTGAATTACAAGGACGAATACCCTAAACTCCCGCCAAGATCTGCACCTACATACATGTGTATGTAGCCCATCGACTTTCCTTGTTCAATAAAAATCTAGAAAGAAACAACGTGGACAACGTAATTTATTGGTACCTTACCCGGAGTATATTTATGTGAATAGCTTCGCATCTCTTTGTGGCCTTAGGCTAATACGGCGTTTCTTTTCTCGTAAACTTCAACTTTCCATCAAAGGCCGGAGGAATCATCGTGCTCAGCCCTCTCCTTTCCCTTGTCGCGCCTCGCTTGCCATTTGAGGATAAAAAAGATACTAACAAAAAGGACAGAAGCGAAGGCAGAAAGACCAAGATAGAGCTTTGCACCAATATGCCAATGGGGTGCCTGCGCAGCGGGATATGCGGCAATAGGTAGGAATGCACTAAACAAATATGAGAACAGAGTCCCAGTCACGAAGAGAACTGTTCGAACTTGAGGTTCTTTCTCGAGATGTGCCGACGCCCAGGCGCAAAGAAGCATAGTCGAGACCCTGTTCTAGTTAGAAGAAATGAAATACATGCGTATCAAGGGGAATGTAATACTCACGCTCCGACATAGTTCATATACCAGCCAGCCATGTAGGCACTCTGACTTTCAGGTCGTATTATCAAAATAATCAACGACGTTATATTAATCACCTGAAGTTCGGATTAGTATCGGGTTCTTGACTCTGCTGGGTTGCCTTACTGAGTGAAGAAGCAAAAACGGCAACCGAGTACCAAGATAATCACTGAAACCGCTGAACAAGAGCTCCGCAACTAGTTGGAGTGCCTGGCCTGCAATTGGTAGATAATTAAGCATACCAACCGAGCTAGACAGCTGATTAGTGCAAGCGCTTAAGACATGAAGTAGTACTCACTATTTCAAGCTCCCATCGGCATTTTTAAGGGACTTGAGCCAAAGGTTGAAATAATTTGAAGGCGTGGTGTTGCTTCCGATAGACCAGGCAACTATGAAAAAGCTTGATTAGATTATTCTACTTTTCTTCCAACGAAACTCTGTATTGACTCACTTGAAAATAACCAGACATGCCAAAACTTGAAGCAGCGCAGGAAAGTTTTGACGTTGATTCGAACCTGTGGATCACGGCCTATCCTTTGAGTTCGCTCTTCGGCGACAACTTGAATGAAATATTAGCAAACACTTGCTGAATCTAAATTTCGGTGTGTATATCATACAGATATCTCGAGGTCTGAGATAAAATTTGGCGAGCGGGTTGGGGCGATCCGGCTAGAGACGTCCTGTCAGTCTAACGCAGGGAATGACAAGAAGTTGGTTCGTACAAATCCTGGTAAAAGCATAAAAGCCAGTAAGGCGATGAAGATAGTGCAAACACCCTGTAGAGTTAGCACAAATTGATTGAGAATCGCCAATGTAATGCTTACATTGATGATAAATGCCCATCGCCAGCCGGTTCGACCAAGGGCACCTTCCAGATTAGTTGAAAGTGCGCCTTGCATCGCGCCAGATAACATAGCCCCAACAGGTTGAGCAATATTGTAAAGACTCATTCGGAGAGCCATTTCATGAGGCAAGTACCATTGGCTAAACCGCAAAGTCAGCATGCGTGCTTCTTGGGATAGAGTGGAGGATTAACCTGATGATGGTAAAATAACCTGGCCAAGTTGCTCCTTCAAAAAAGCCGATCAGGAAGCGAAGGCCATAGACCTAAAGAAAATACCGTCAAATCGAGATGAAACGAATGGATCGGTTGTCTATACCTGTTTTGCGTTGGTGACCGTGGATAAACAACAAGTCAATATACCCCAAATAACCTATAAACCTTGTCAGCATTTCTGAATAGCAAAAATTGTTTTTAACTTACCTCGCAGGTGGGTAGCCAAATTGATGGACCAACGTGAGAAATTATGATGCATGAGGGATATAGCATGATCATGTAGCCAATACTGTTATTGTCAACAAGAGTGCCTCACAAAAAGAGTACCGACGACTAACTTGAAGAAAGTGGTAAAGTAATTCAACTCATTTCCATAAAGTTCCAAATCAGTTTGCATTCCGGAAACATAGGCGTTGCTCTGATGGGTTGTCAGAATAGGGTATTCCTCGGGGCTGCGAATAAACATACAATGTTGGTTTGATCTAGGTACTTGAATGCATAACCTAGAAATCCAATCGTCAAGAAGAAGATATCCAGACGCCATACCTGTGTTGGACAAATCAGCATCCCAGACACAAATGGGAGAGGGTTAGTAGACATACTAAGGACCTCTCTTCTTTTGGGTCAATGTCTGCGACTGGAGAAACTGTGCTGGTAGCATTCGTCTTGTTGGAGACTATTTGAGTGCTCATATTTTAGTGTTTCTTATGACATCTACTATAAAGGCAGATCGAGAAAGCGGACTTTTCGAGTGTAACACTAAAGGATGAAGGATCCCTGTGAGAGACACGATATGATATAGTTCTATCGGTGTACTTTCTTACTTTGATCTATTAGGCTTTTCTGCGGACGTTTATATGGGGCGGAATGGCATCATCGGAGTAAATCAAGGCGTGTCTGATGCTTGTTTTGGTTAAGACTTCATGCCCGAACCGACCTTCATATCGTTCTGACTATAATGCAAATTACTTCAAAGATATAGAAGTAGCATACATCGACCTCTTTTTATTTTAAATATTCTATTCATCTAACTGGGGGTTTTTTAAAAGTGCGTGGCGATTGACATCGATTTAGGAGGTGTATGGCACCATTATAGCCACAATGGTGAGGCCTTTGTAGATAGCCTAGCGTCACTTTATCGGAGTAGCAATATAACATGCATATTATGCCATAGGGCTATTCATGCGCTTGATACCTAGTTCTACTACTAGGCTACCGCCACCTAAAATTTTCGGCGTCTTGTAGAGAGCCATAAGAAATAATAGGTAGAAAGATGTACAAATGAGGCAATATGGATACATTTTAAGAATTATAGCGAGTTTCGAAACGTAACGTATATAGAACTTCAAGATACTTTGTCTACTCGACTTAAGCAACCTCTTTGCTCTCTGAGAACCCTGTGATATCCGCCTCACCACTCAGCGAATTTCTATGCTTGTGAAATCCCCGAAGAGGCGTTTTCTTCCGGAACAACTGGTCAATTTCTTCGAATGATCTTCCTTGACATTCAGGTACACAGAAGTAAACAAAAGCAATGGAGGTGATCGAAAGACTGCCATAAATAAAGCCAACCTTCGACTGAAGGTTTGCATAACCAGTATCCATGAGATATGGTAGACTAAATGAAACTGCGAAACTGAACGCAAAATGTTAATACTCCTGTCTCACATAATGGCTGAAAAGTAATGTCAACTTACAATGTAAGAACATTCGTAACAGACGCAATCCGCTGTGAGTTGTCTCGCAAGCGCAGAGTTGGTATCTCGGTAGTTACGACGTATGTTAACGCAGCCCATCCTATATCGAAGCCCACTGTAAACAAGGAAAGCATTGCAACAATGGCTGACTTCTGAGGATAAGATGGAGTATGTACTCCAAGTCCTCCCATGATAAGAAGTGCTGTTGCTTGGATTGTCGCACCAATCAGAAGTAAGGGCCTGCCGACGTCAGTTATGATCCCCTGTTTGGGGATGCGAGCTCACCTTCTTCCGACTTTATCGTTGAGGTATAGGCATAGTAAAACTATGACGAGTCCGATAAAACCATTGATGACGTTGAAATTGAAACTGTTTATAGTTTGTAGAGATTTCACATATAGGGTGCCATATTGCGATGCGAATGCCTGCCCCGTAGCCTGTTGGAAAAAGTTGAGCCCAACAACAATCGCTGTTCGCTTTCGGTTAGATTTTGAGAATAGTTCCTTGAAATGGCCTTGCTCTGGTTCACTTTGCAGCCCCTTTTGGATTGATGCGAATTCATCTTCTATCTCATCTGAAGTAAATGCTCCTTCTCGTAGTTTCTGTAAGTTGATTCGCGCCTCTTCCATGCGGCCTTGGATAAGAAGCCATCGAGGGGACTGGTTACACTTAGCTTTTTGGGAAATAAATAAAGATGGGGAAATTCAGAAGTTCTCACCTCCGGAATAAACCATATGAGCGATGCTATGATAGTCGGAATGATGAAGAAAAGCCCCAATGGTATCCTCCACGAACGGTCATCGTGTATCTTGCTAGTCCCATTGCACACCCAGCCAATGACCATCCCTCCGAACTGAAAGTTTCTGTCAGTATAACCTACTTATTTATTCTCTATAAAATTTTGGCACTTACCACAATGGTCAACTGATATGTACCCACCATGAAGCCACGAATTTGGGTTGGAGCGATCTCGGACTGGAAAACTGGAACAACAGAGAGTTCCATGCCAATATATATGTCTAGCTGTATTAGAAGTGATTCAATAAGAGAATTCCAACAGACGCACAGTTCAAGATCCTAGCGGCTAATATTTGATCGCTGGATTGAGACGTAGTGGTAATTGTGGCGGTAGCTAGAGCATAGATGCTCATAGTAAACATACACCACCGACGACCGAATCGAGCACTTATAAAGCTGCCAATGATAACACCTGAAGGCTGGTTAGAAATGAAGGTGCTTATGATTCCTCACTGCGTACCACAGGCGAAGGTCAGATACGGGAGTCCGTTGAAGTATGACTTCCACTGAGTGTCGAGGGCCCAGGTTTTCGCTTTTGCATCGTAGACACCGAATCGCTTCTCGAAGGCATCCATGGCTTGTGTTTGGGCAAAGCCTTGATTATCGAAAGCATAGTTGAAGCTGGAGAGAGCAATTAGGCTACATGACAATGCTAGCCGTTTGTTGAAGTATTTTCGCACATTGTAGTGGCCGAGCATTGTGATGTTAGTATCGCAAACAATGCTCTAAGTCGATTTTATTTCCCAATTCAAATTGGCAATACTATTATATTTCTATGCTTGTTATATAAAATAAGCTCCATGATGGTTGAGGTAGATTGTCCTAGCCGGCACCGGCTATTTACTAGCCGCCAACCAGAGAGAGGCACTGGAGAGAGACTGGATTATCTAGAATCTAAAAGCACGCAATGTCATAGGCTGTATATAGAAGATTATCTTGCACAGAGTATTATTATTATTATTATTATTATTATTATTATTATTATTACTTTTTACCGCTATCGTGTATATCTAAAAAGACATGACAAGGCCTCTTGTTCACCATCAAAGAGAAATTTGGATATTTGCGTCCATTAGATAAATCAGGGGCATATTCGAATAAACATTAAGTAGGAGGTATCGGAAAATATATTGACTGCATACAACCATTACTGATTGGCCAAAGACCTCGGTTCAACTCCGGGGTGGCAGGAGGTCGCAATCCAAATGGCGGAGCACGCAATTATATATTCATCCTAACGGCCCGGGCTAGGAAATCCAAAATTGCCGTTGCCGGTGTCTGATAGCCGCTTGCCCTTGGAAAGAGCACATAATTTTTCCAGACTCTTGGAAATGGACTTGACATCCCCGGCAGCGGTTCCCAGCACAGAGGCCCACTTAACGCAAAGTGGAACAAAACGTCTTCGTACCAGGCAAGCTTGTAGGCCGTGCCATCTGCTTAAGGCAAAATGTTCCGGGTCATTGCCTGCCTGCCAGCGATGTAGCCAAAAAGGGATATCATGCGAATATGCATCGTCAAAGCCAGGTTCCGGGACACGAAAAAGGCGAAGAATCGCATCGAATGAGACTCAGCAAAATCACCCACTGTTATCGCCGTTGATATCTCCTAAACAGGCAGCAAGTGTAGGGTATTCCCTTCAGGCTTTGCCATCGCAAAGGACAAGGATCGAGGACGTTATTTCACACAGAGAAACCCAGAGCGATGGGGTGAAGTATGACTCGAACAAGGAACTTGGTGTGGATAAATGTGTGGTCAGACTCTACATCGACGCCTACTTTGAACACATCGCACCGCTTTGTGAGAATGGCTTTATTCACCGCGCTATTTTCCTACAAGCCTGGAATTCTGGAACAGTCGACCCAGCGCTATTGAAGGCAGTTTGTAGTGCATCCGCGGCATTTATGTCGACAGATTCCGTCACGGCTGAACAAAGAGAAAGGTGGCGTACTGAAGCAGAGGCGCATGTTTGGTCAAATATCGGACGGCCATCTCTGGTCGTACTTCAAGTTCTCCTGGTGGTAATTTCCCAAAATTGTGCATTATCCCGATTTCTCGCTTTGCAGCCACTGCTAGGAATGGCTGCGAAGATGGCATACATGCTCCGTCTGAATCATGAAAACACTCAACTATCCACCACAGCTCGCGAAATTCGTCGGCGTATTATGTGGTCAATATTCATTTTAGACAAACGACTTGCGGCTGGACAGTCGGACCTGATATCGTGCCCCAAAGAGCAAATGCACATACAACTACCATCGAACGAGAGAGACTTCGAGCTCGCAATTTCTGGCGAAACAGGTACTCTTATAGCGACGCAGATTGATGAAGGTGGCTCCACCAGCATGGGCACCAGAGCATACTTTTGCCAACTCTCTCATACTCGGCATGAGATTCTTCAGTGAGAAATTCTACAGTATGGATTATTTAACAATGCTGATTGATGCTTAGATACACCAGAAGAGTAATTTCAGAAGGTTCAAAAGCGCACGACTCTCGTGGTGAGCTTCTTCAACTGGAATGTGACTTACAAACCCTGAAACGCTCGCTGCCTGAATCAATGGCCTTTAGCGAGCGTAATCTTAACCTACGAGCTTACTCTCCACATTTGAAGCGATACGTTATGCTACATGCAATGTGGCACCAATGTCACTGTGACTTGTATAGATTTATGCTACCTGGAATTCGGGAGTCACTGGCTGATGAAGTTCTCAATACGACGCTACCTGAGTATGCAATTTATTGTCAAACACGAGCAGTTGAGCATGCAAAGGCACTTGTCGATATTTTTAGAACGGTTCAGAAGGTTTGCGATCAAACTCCACAAGATCCAGGGATCGGCATTTGTGTATTTCAATGCACACGGATTTTAATACGAGCTTTTGACATTGGTCTTCTCGGAAGTCATTCAACTGCTATTGAGATACTTTCCCAGCTCAAATCTGCTGCGGATATACTCTTGCCCATTGCCGCAGTAAATCAGTCCGCTGACCAACTGGTGAGTTATACACTTCATGTCTTAGCAAGAACAGCCTGTCAGCATCTTTGTATTATCAAGGGTAATGCTCATTATGGATTATTATACAGTACAAAGAGGCCGAAAGGCTCATAAGCACCGCGATTGATGGGGGTCCCTACCCAGACCCGATGAGAGAAGCCTCACAAAAAGAGCACATCCGTGACAACAACATACTCGATATCCTAGCTCGCATTCGTCGGCGTGATATTGAGCGAGGAGAGGAAGTCCTTCAGCAGTGCCCAGCAAGCCCCCCTCTGACCGGATCGGAAGTACCATCGGACAAAGAAACGGGTGCCGCCAACGAAAGAACAGTTGAGAAACAATCGAGAGAAGAAGTTTTAGAGGAATCTCTGTGGTATACGGGACTCGAATCAGAGCACATGTTTGGCTCACTAGATACTGTATTCGATGGATTTGGGGGACCATCTATGAATTTCGATCCCCAAGATCTTGAACAATTGTACGGGAATCAATTATGACATTGGATGCGCCTGGATTATAGTAAGAATGCTTACTGTGTAAAGGCCTGCACCTGGGCAAACAGCTGATAATCAGGTAATTACACTCCTTCAATGCCAATTGATCCAAATGATGTTAGAAATTCCCATGCCACTCAGATTGTTTCAGTCCTCTTCCTATATCGCTCTTCTGGGCTTTCAAGGTTCACCGTTGGAAATCTAGGATCCTTTTGAAATGGCAGAAAGTCCGAGGTCTGCATCATCCAGCGAAACATCTCTGCCTGCATCCCTCGAACAATATGGTCAAATTGTGGATCTGCAGCGACGTTATGAAGCTCAGCGATATCAGTCTTCCTATTGTATAATTCGGCTGGTTCGTACAGCCGGTACACATACGTCCAGTCCGCACTTCTCATGGAAACGGCTTTTCCAACAATCTCGGTATCTTCATGTTGCAAAATAGACTTGATATCATACGGATAGGGCGCTTGCTCGAGGAGCGGCCTTTCTGATTTGAGGAAGCCCCCTTCGGTGTATGCGTAGAGCTTTGGGTGCTTCTGATTCCCAAGTATCGCCGGCAGGAGCGAAACACCGTTGTGCGGAAAGTTCTCAGAGACTTTGCATAGCTCGAGAACCGTTGGGAGCAGGTCGACCATCTCACAGATGTCATCGTTGGTTTTACCGAGAGGTAAACCGGCACCGCCTATAATCAGAGGCTCGCGAGCAAGGACTTCAGACACGCCGCTAGGCCACTTCTCAATCATACCATGATCTCCAAGGTACTCCCCGTGGTCGGTGTAGAATGCGGTGACCGTGTTTGATGTCAAACCCGTACTTTCCAATGCAGCCATGACCTGCCCGAATTGGGTATCGAGACGAGAGATCATCCCATAGTATGTCGCCGTAATTTCAGCCCAGATTTCATCGGTTGCACGTTCTGTACCGTAGCGCTTGCGATTCTCTTCGAAATATCTCGGTTCATAGCCTGTTTTGCGCTCTGGCTTGGTTGGCATTGGCATCTTCTTGCGGTCGTACATGGAGAAGTACGGTTCCTCAACTTGGAATGGACAATGGGGGAAGATCAGCGGTAGATAAAGAACCCATGGACCCTTGGGAGGATTCTCCAGCCACTTTATAGCGGATCGCACAGCAGCTTCATCATAGTCGACTGTTTTGTCCTGACTGCGGAGGCCCTTGTAGAATAAGCGGTCCCAGATATCTTCCGACACATCCGGTTCTGCGCCTCCCTTTCCAAACTTTGGCATCCACTCCGGCGGGACGAGAAAGCCGTACTCAGTCACACTCAGCTCTGTGACTGTGGGCGCAAATGTATCGCCTCTAGGAGCCAAACATGCTACGTGGTATCCGCTTTCCTTCAGCGCACGAAACATGTTTGGTTCCCAGGGCTTGATGAGATTTTCCAAACTTCGATGACCTGATACATGTGGGTATTGCCCTGTGTAGAGCGAACATCGGCTTTGTGAACACACGGTGGCTTGCAAATAGCAATTCGTGAATTTGGTGCCGCGTGCAGCGAAGGCGTCAATATGAGGTGTGCGAACATGGGTGTTTCCGAAACAGCCAACGGAGTCATAACGAAGCTGATCTGGCATGAATATCACCAGATTCGGGCGAGATTCTACCATTTGACTTGTGGTATCTCCAATTTGACTTAGTGGGTTGTCGGTGGTGGGCGATGGGAGGCTAATAGGTGCCCTATTGCTTGATGGTATATGATATTTTTTATTCCGGTACACGAAAATCTCGAGCGTTAAAACGCCAATCAGAAATTTGCTTCATACTTAAAAAATGTATCTTTTTCTTTTCTACTGGCAGCCGGTGGGCTAGTAGCCGGCAACGGCCCGTGAAGCAGCCGAAATGATACCAGCCGGTGGGCCTAACTTGCGCCGCGACGGAGTGTAAACCAAAGTGCAAGGAAACTAGAAAAACCTCGGCAAGGCTGAAAAATCCGTGGTATTGTTATTGTTGGCATTGTATTACTTACAATACACTGCCCCTTGAATAAAACCAAGCTTTGGTTTCATCGATACCCAATTTAGTCACAAGAAGCATCTTCCCAAACAAGTCCACATCATCCGGCTTCGCGTCCTGAAGCAGACCAGTAAAATCTGCATTATACACAATAAAGTGTTGGTTTTCTGTCCAAGCTACTGCAAAATCGAAGGCACTTTGTGCATTCCATAAATGCGCAGACTGATACCATGCATGCTCGAGTCCAAGCTTTCCATCACAAGTGGAGAATGGTTTGCCTTGTAACAAGTGTTGGATCTTAACAAAGTAAAACACCATCAGCACAGTGCGCCGTGCTGATTCTTGGAATACCCATGATTCCCAAAAGCCCATTATTGGTTCCATGGAGATAGGGAGTAGCTCGCAGGGTTGTGAGGGGTGTGGTATATGAATACAGTTGAAAAGAGATAACACTGATGTCTCGAGTAGAGCCAATAAGGATTCGGAGGACGGTTGTGTGCGGATGCCAACGTCAAATAAACGCATTATCAAGTATAAAATAAGCGCGTGGATTCGAGCAAGTAGTTCCAGTGGCGTGGTAGGCGGTGGTGCAGAGAGAAGATCGTTTATGCGAGAATCGAATATGGACATCAAAACCGGGGAATTTATATCATTTTTGCTCATGTAGAGGGAACAACAAGCGAATGCATCTACGATAAAGTTAGTATGGCAATACGCTATAAAATGGAAACATTGATGTTGGTGAGCCAACCTTGCATGTCCTTCGGCATACCACTTTTATAAAGCTGACGATGGGACCACGGAGTTTTGTTCTCGGTGACTACCATTTTGGGGATGTTCTGGAGCACATCCACCGCGAATTGTAGTCGATTGGCTAATACATCTGGGAGCCGCTTTGGGGGGTTCGTTCTTGCCATGACGAGATCAAAGTTCAGCGATGAGGAAAGGCCCTCGAAGATATCCACCCGATCTTCTGGGGGGATTATATTGATATAACGGAAGGGCGACTCGATCATAATAGGATGAAAGGGACCCATATTGGATCGGGCCATCAAGTCAAAGTCACGATTGCATTGAGTAGAAGCGGTGCCAATCATCTCATCATAATTCGTAGATGCCGGGATATCGGCAATAACATCGGCGCAGGTCTGAGGCAGCCTTCCTGGGTAAAAGCACGGTATGCATTTGTGGATACATCTTGAGCAGATTGGAAATGATAGGTCGCAGCGCCGTTTGGCTAATTTGCATGCTTCACATGACTTTCGCCGCGAAGTTACTGTGCTTTGACCCGCATGAAGCATCTTCTCTTTGAGATTTCTACTCGAAGGAAAGGGTTGAGGAAGAGAAATGTTCCAGGCTTGTGGGTCCGAAGTGGAATTCCGCCCGCTAGTGGAATTGAGGCTTTGGTTCACCAATCAAAGTCGCTTCGGGATCGGGACAGTGGTGGACCGAGTGGAGTTCCACCATTTCAAGGTTGTACGGAGTAACCTTGGGAAGGTTCCAAGGTTGTTGTATAGAAGTGCCTGTCAAGGACATATTGTAGTATATAAAGATGTAAGTTGCACACAGATTCAAATATAAAAATTACAACCACAAAGCCTCATACTTTACTTCCGAATTTCAAATGTCTTCTCCGACCGTCTTCGTTTGCGGCGCCACTGGTACCCAGGGCGGTGCTTTGATCGACCATTTGCTCAAAACCGATGTCAAAATACATGCCGTTACGCGCACCCCCAATTCGGATGCTGCCCAACTTCTTAAATCGCTCGGCGTCCTTATCACGGAGGGTGATTTTGACGATGATTCCGTCAAAAAGGCCATGGCCAATTGCACAAGCCTTTTCCTGAACTTGATGCCAGCGTTGACAAACTTGAACGCAAGTCTCAAACAAGCATGCCGACTTCTCAAAATTGCTAAAGAAGTTGGCATCAAGCAAGTCATTTATGCCAGCGGATTGTCTGCCAATGATCCCCAACGCCTCAAATTATGGGATCCAACGAGCATCATTAGCGAAATGATGCTCAACAAACATGCCATTGAAAACGAAATTCGCAAAGCGGGATTTGAAAACTGGACAATTTTGCGCCCGGGTAACTTCATGAACAACTACTTATCCCCAAAGACAATGATGTACCCGGGCTTCACGAAAACAGGAGTATTTACCACTGCTTTCGCTCCGGACACCTTGTTGCCCATGGTTGATCCCAACGACATCGGCCAGTTTGCAGCAGCAGCAGTCCTCGATCCCGTCAAGTTCAACCACCAAGAAATTGAGATCGCTTCGGAACTTTTGGGAATCGAGGCCACCATCCAGTCTTTATCCCGCGCCACTGGAAGGGAGATGAGCGTTGCCTATATGTCAGATGAGGAAATCAACGCACAGAAGGCTACCAATCCCTTCATTGCCGGCCAACTCATGGCCCGTGATCTAAGATCATTTGTGGATTTGGACAAAGTCAAGGCGTGGAATATTCCGCTGGGCACCTTCGAGCAATTCTTGCAGCGAGAGAAATCCAAAGTTGATGCGACATATCTTTGAATTGCAATGGCCGAGAGTACAAGCGGGAGGAATGAACGGGATGATTGCTGGGCGGCTTAAGGGCACTGCAGGGCATTCCAATTTATAAACCAGGGGAAATACATGATGTTCGAATGCTCCATGAATTGTTAATTTTTAGCAATCAATGTAGTAGTTGTCTGGAATTGAACAGTGTTGACATCAAGCCCAGATGCCTAATGATTCCACGCGTTTTGGGACAAACCCCCCCTCAAAAAATTGAGCCTAGGGATTAGATCAAGTCAATTTAGAGTCAGATAACTGTAAAATAAAGGAGGAATAATATGGATTGAAGGAGTTCCAGATAGTCGACCCTTAAGAGGGGGGTAAAAATGCCTTAGATGCCTTGACACGATCGCGTCACGTCGCGACACGAAAAAAAGATCCAACTTCCCCGATTTATCTCTCCTCTTTAGTCTTTAGCCGTCCAGACCTCCACCAATGCATCCATAGCCATTTTTTTAAATTTTTT